TTGGCAGTAGTAGACTTCATGGGGCAACGGTTTCCCCAAAGACTTTCACTACAAATTCATTTCTGTAAATGCTTTTTCTTTTTGCAAACAGTTGACATCATTTTCTGTGATAATTTACAGCATGTCACAGATCCTATACATAGAGGTCCAGCTGTATTAAATATGCATTTCTCTACACTTAAAAAAAGGTGTAGAAACAATTTTCACTCAAAAACATGGGTAGTAAATTTCACAATTATTTAACAAAGTAACAAGAAGTAACACTTTGTATTAAACATGACGTTTTGAAATAGTAGTAGTATTTTCTTGTAAAACATAACCTAATAATCTTTGCTTTATTTAAGTTCATTTTTATAATATGAATATGAATATTTAACTCTTCAATTGGTAATGTGTTTTGTGTTGCTAATAAGTTGCATCTGCTAAGTGTGGTTAAAATTGGTTCTGAGGCTGTTGATATAGAGGTTTGCACAATAATAATATGCTCATTTTGCCAAGCCGACATAAATAATCACTGAAACATGTCTGGAGTTTGTGCATGAGTGGAGTTATGTAACATTTTCCTCGTTTTCTTCTAATGAGCAGAACAATGTGCAGTTCCCAATATTAGCTGTCGTATCTTCTGTGATAACAGCTGGGACTAATGCAGGATAAGCGTGCACTGATTGCACAGTTAAAGACATGTTTAGTTTCAGGTTTGGGTTTATCAGTGTGCCAAACCTCAGGTTAAGATCAGTCATGAATACACAGGTTCATGCACACGCAGCGTGCCATTACTGCAAGAGGATTTCAGTATGTAAATACACACTCCAAGTCTACACAACATGTAATCTCATTGAGATATATTATCTTTAATATCTCCCAGAAAGCAATGCAATGAAATTGACATTAAATAGATGACTCTTAGATGTTATATACAATAGAAAAGATCTCAACAATATGATTTGCTAAGATACCAAAGCCTTATTCAAAAGTCAAACATCTCAATATGACCTCAACCCTTTCTCAAATAATCGATCCACATTTATTTTATGTCAACAATTGACTTACATTAATTTTTATCTCTTCAAAAGTATTTCGGAGAAACATTTGTTTGATTGGTATATTCTTTAAGGAGTAGTTTTCCCAAAAATGAAACTTTGCTGAAACTTTACTCATCCAAGATGTAGATGAGTTTGTTTCTTCATCAGAACAGATTTGAAGAAATGTAGCATTACGTGACTTGCTCACTATGGATCCTCTGCAGTGAATGGGTGCCGTCAAAATGATTCCAAACAGCTGATAAAAATCTGTTCTGATGAACAAACAAACTTATATACTTCTTGGATGGCCAGAGGGTGAGTAAACATTCAGCAAATTTTTATTTTTAGGTGAACTTTTCCTTTAAGTCTCTTGAGCTGTGAAATAGAAACGTCTAGAAAGAAAATCTTCTTGCATAGCTCCACTTAATTTGCATTTCAGTCAAACAGTGAGGTCATCCTCTTCTGTTATCATGTTAATTTATTTTGATGAGATCATCATCATCATCATCATCATCTCACTGATAAGCAGAATGCAGATCTTCACGTGTGTGATTTAACCTGTCAGTCAAAGCCCTCTGACCATTAACAACCCAACTGAATCATCGGCTCATTATCTGGAGGTTCAACTTTGTCCTGGAACAGAGAACACATTCAGGAACACAGCTGTGTGGAGGTGTCTGTGTTTTTCTCTCTGGATTTTAACAATTTTTCCTCTGTTTGCTTGTATTTCTGTTGGTGATTCTAGTGCCTGGAACATGGCACTACTCTCAAACAAGGTGAAGTATTACATTCCCTTTGCTTTTACTGTGATTTTCAATGTTTGTGTCATATTGCAATAGGGTCATACTCAGGTAAAAGTGCCATTTTTATTTATTTATTTGAAAAACGTTACTGGCGAACCAGCCCACCTCAGGCCCAAAGAATTAACCTCAGGCTCAAAGTAAATAAGGACCACCCGGGTGCATCCTCAAAAATATTATTTAACATTCATGTATTTTGAGTATATATATTGGCAGTACCTGCCAATTTTCGCTTTGAAATAAATTCATTTTATGACAAATATACCCATGAAGTTTGGAATAGCCTAATTAAGATTGTTTAATGTGTTTAAAAGAATTCTCTTATTCTCACCTAGGCTGCATTTATTTGCTCAAAATACAGTAAAAACAGTAATATTGTGAAATATTATTACAATGCAAAATATCTGTTCTGTTACCGAATATATTTTAAGATGTAATTTATTCCTGTGATGCAAAGCTAAATTTTCATCAGCAAATACTCCAGTCTTCAGTGTGACATGACCTTTCCGAAATCATTATAATAATATTATTATTATTATTATTATTAATATTATTATTATTATTTATTCCAAAATTTTGAGCAGTAGTGTATACTGTATATGTGTATGTATATATTATGTTTTCAGTTTTAAAGATCAGTGCAAAAATGTTTAATAACAAATTTACCACAAACTGATTTTTAAAAATGTATTTTTCCCTTGTAACAAACTTGAAGTATCGAAATAAAAGGCCAGTATATGTGTAAACAATGAAATACTGTTAGAAATTATAATGTCACTCTCTTAAATATGATAATATTTGTTCTACATAAAAAATCGAAGGAACCTAATGTTGATAAATGGGGACATGCAACATGTTTGACAATTTAATGAAAAAGATTCAAAATCATTTTTCAGGTTTTATTTTAAAGTTGAGTTTTATTACACACTAAACAGAGTTCAGACTATCAAATAATATAATGGGGACACAACACACCGTTGTTGTTGTTTTTATCTTTAGTGCAGATGCAGATTGCCTGAAGTGGACCCACAAAACAACCCAAAGAAAATGCTTGTCTTGGATGAATTTGATTTAAAAAAAAAATTTGAGTTCATATTGAGATATCTGATGCATGATCTTGGCAATTCATGAGTGCAATTTGAGACATTCTTGAGATCTCTTACGAAAAAGAAGAGCTATGTGTGAGATTACAGTTACATTTAAACTCATTTCACACATCTCTCACATCTCACTAATTGAGAAAAAAAAAGCAATCTACTAATTTGAGGTGTTAATGAACCAGTGTATTTGCAGTGCTTGTGGAAATGACAATAATGCAAACCCCAATGATGATTATCTTTTCCTAATTAGCCTAGTAGCTCAGCACATACGTAAACAAGTATAAAACCCAAGGCTCCTCTCAGAGTTTTTCCATTAACAACAGACGAGGCAGAGAAAGTTCAACAGTCGTAATTACCCATGCGCACTCATCCGTGAGAGCTGTTGTTGTGTCGGTGGATTACTTTGCCATCTATAATCTTGATTTAGTACAGTACAGCAATCAGTTTATGCAAAACCTCCCAAATGAAATCGGAGTTTGGGCATTGCTCTTTTGTTGTGTATATGCCGTTTAGGTTTCTTAGATTTGTTTGATGTCAAAGCGCAATTAAACGCTTTGCTCTTTGCTCTCGTTTGAGGAGTCTCACTTCGCCAATATCTTTCCGTGTCCTCGAAACCGCCAGCTATGCAATTGTCTCGTGCTCTTTAGAGGTTGACTAGTCAAGCATAGCTTTAACTCTTCTGTGCCATTAGCACAAACCATATAAAACTTTGCTCAGATGAGATACAGTAAGCTTATCTTCACTTCAAAAGCGCATGACCATGGTGCAAAGTAGGTCGCAGGGTGCTGAGGAATCATGTCAATGAAACACAAATAAACTGTCTGGATTGAAAACTAGGCTGAGGTTTAGACGTTCCCAATGGTGTGTGATATTCACTGGAGAAATTGATCTGTTTTTGTATTAGACAGCCACTTTCACATTCTTAGCACTTGGTATCACAGTTTTTGGCTTTCAGTATGGCTTTGTCATACCAAATATCACACGTTTCCTTTAGGAATCTGCTAATAAACCTTATGCAATGACAAAGAAACGCTTAATTGCTCTTTCATTGCTCAGGATTTCCTATGTTTCATTTAAGTAGCAACTTGTCTCAGATGTTTCTTAAAGTAAACGACATTGAGATCTCTTCTAAAACTCTAGAAACTAGAAAACTCTAGTTTTCCTAGGATAAAAATCAAAGGAACAGCTGAGACTAAAGTATTCGATCTTCTTTCAATACTATTGCTGTATTGTAGACAGTTGAGATATTGAAGTAGGGTTATTATAGTTGACGAAAATCATAAAAAAGTTTTCATTTTTATTAATTTAATGTACTGAAATAACTAAGTTAAAAAACACTTTACAGACAAAATAGAAGAAAAAAACTAATAAACATGATAATTACTATAACAGAAAATACAAAAATAAATACAAATTCAAACAATTAATACAATTTATAACAGTATCTTAATTATACTAAAATAAGTTTATATTAAAGAGATCTCTATGAAATTAATATGCATAGAACAAATCATTTGGTTTTCCTAGAATTTGATGAAAGATATTTCCTGCTGAGTTCATATTTAGACTTTTGACTGCAGACTTTGATATCTTCTGAACACAATTTGAGGCATGTTTTTCAAAGAATAAATTTAATAGGAGATTTACAGTAAGCAAACATCTCCATTTTATCTCTGAATAAATATCTTTATATTTAATCTAATTGCTGTCTGCAAAAAGCTATTGAGATCAAAGATTGAAATGATCTAATTTGATTTTTATTCCTAAAGGCATTAATAAAATGCAGCAAGGACTTATCTACCAAGATAAAAAGAGAAGTTTAGAAGTTTAGCATGAGAGAATTTCGCTACAAACAAGCATCATCGTGTCTATCGGCTAAGCACAACCAACAACTTAATGCAATTCTGCAGAGATAGCTTATCAACCAAAACCAACTTAAAGAGAAAACCAATAAAACAGTGACTCAAAGCCTATCTTTTCTGTTTCAATCCAGTGTGTGTGTGTGTGCAATGCTGAAACAATGCTCTAACTGCTCTGGCGTCGAGTTTATTTTCTCTGGCAGAAGGATTTTTCACTCGCGGCTTTCAAATCTAGTACATCAAGATGTTGTTCAGAGCTTGAGATTCTTTTAAATTTGTATTTCTCTTCTTTTCTGACTTTTCTGTGTCTTTAAAGTCAGCATAGGCTCAAAAGTCTTCATCACTTCTCATCTTCAACATGTCAGATGTAAAGCATGACAGCTGCATCTGGGTCACAAGTTTTTGTGTCATTGTGCTCATTATATCAGGTGCATGGCCCGGTCGCATGGATTCAATGTTTATTTTGTCATTTCCTGACACATTTGATGCTGTCCCACTGCTTTATGCTGTAACCAGGCCTGTGGAGAGATGTTTCTGTCAGCTGTGTTTCAAATATCATATTCTATGGGTGTTTCCGGAGCGGGGCGCTCCTTTGTTTGAGCGACTCGCGGTAAAGGCTGCGTTGAGTTTTTATATTGTTTTATCGTTTTGTTTTTATCGTTTGTTGTTTGTTTTGGATTTTAAGTTTGACACACAAGTTTACCATGATAAGTTCGACCTTGAAACACTGGATCTTGTCTTTGTGGATCGTCCTCTGTGTTCAACCTGCTTGGTCGTGCTGGAGTTCCCCGGCAGATTTACAAATCGCCAACTCAGAAATTATGATCTACGCTCGGGCTGATCTTCTAGACCTTCGACAATCCCCATCTAAGATACTAACACCGCCACTTCTGGATTTAATCCCTAAGCACCTGTTGAGGAAAAAAATTAGTTGGAAACAGGGGTCAAGAGGCGGAATCAGGAACAGGGTGAGAAGACGGGGAAGTAGGCTCCCTTTCCCTGCCATTGTTTTATCAAATGTGCGATCTTTGCGGAATAAGGTGGATGAACTTTCTGTGTTGATCAAAACTGACTCTGACTATCGGAACACGAGTTTGTTATGTTTTACTGAATCGTGGTTGTCTGAGGACACTATGCTGAATTTGGATGGTTTCACTTTCATACGCTATGACCAGGACACGGAAGAAACAGTCAATCAGTTGGAGGCGGTCTTTGTATGGCCGTAAACGATAAATGGGCTGCTAATTTTACGGTGCGTGAGACTGATTGCTCTCGCCACTACGAAATTATGACGGTGTCGTTTCGACCTTATTATTTACCGCGTGAGTTCACTCAAGTGACAGTAATTCTTGCCTATGTTCCTGGCCCTGATAACACTCTTGCAGCTGAACGTATTGCGGACATTTATAATAATGCTGTATTAAGAGCAACTGATCAACCTATTTTTTTTGCTTGGAGATTTTAACAGTTGTGATGTCGGATCCTTGCTTCCACAGATAGAGCAATATGTCACTATTCCAACTCGTCTGGACAAAATGCTGGACTTGTGTTTTGGTAATGTCCTGGAGCTTATGTCTCTAAATCCCTCCCTCCTCTTGGCTTCTCAGACCATAATGTAGTTCTGTTGTTGCCAAAATACAGACAAAGACGGAAAACACACAAGACTCAATCAAAAATGATCCAGGTCTGGAACAATGACTCTATGGAGACCCTAAGAGGATGTTTTGAGATTACCGATCGAGGGATGTTTTTTCAGAGCAATGATGGCGATTTGGATATGATTAATGATTCCATCAGTTCATATATGTCTTTTTGTGCTGATAATGTGATACCAACTAAGAAAGTTACTCTTTACCCAAACAACAAACCTTGAGTCTCTAAAGAGATGAAGCATTGTATTAACCTAAAAAAGACTGCCTTTATGGAGGGTGATAAAAGACATGTTAATGCACTGAGAAAGGAACTGCGAGATAAAACCAGGTTGGCCAAACTTCGATATAAAGACAACATGGAGGAG